TGTGCAAAGCCCATCAAAATTCCATGCAACAGAGAGATTTAGATGCTGAAGCTATCAGTGGACAGAATGAGCTGAATGTGCAGACAACTTGCTGCATCTTGGCCGTGAAAACTAGGCTGCACTCATCTAAAACATCTTTCCTACTACCTCTACAATTACATACAAGTAGATGAAATTCAATACACTGGCTCTAAGGAGAGGCAGAGCTGACTCAAACACTACTACAAGCCCTGCTGAGTATTAAGAGACTGTCAGCATCAACGTTTTGGGAAACTTCAAGATAAGAAATGGATAAAACAATAAAAAATATTGATATATAATATATATGCATATTTAGATTAATATTTATATTTTATCTATAAATGATAAAACTGGAATAAAATGGATCTATATCTTCTTTGCCCAGTCTGACAAATTGTTTCACAAAGTTGCTAAAATAGCTTTTAAAGATAAATTCTGTCCTCTAAAAACCCAGCCCTTACTTAAAATGTTGGAATTTTTGTTTTAATTTGAAGGTAACTACATGATATCTTAATATTATGTATCTTAATAATAATATCATTGCGGAATTTTGCTACTCAATCCCTTAACACAGAAGCGTAATACCTTTTCATTTTATAATAAAAAATATATTAGTACTTTTCTTTCATTTTATTACATGTTACTTCTTTTATTTAAAAAAAACAAACACAGCAAAAAAATATCTAAGCAATCAAGGGAAGACTATTAATTTTAAGGAATATCCAGCAGTCAGTTACAGACACCCTCCACAATAAGAGTAAACACAAAAGATCAGACATTCTATCATAAAGAAAAGTTGATGGAATGGAATAAGTTTGGTTGTTCAAAGTGTACACACCTCTTAGTAAATTTCAGAGCATGGGGATTTCTGTTCTGTTATTGTATTGTTTCTTATTGAGATATAGTCATATGTGGCAGATTTATAGTTAAGAGATATGTGCTGTTGCAAGCTGGAAAGAATGCATATGAACCTGTAAAAAATTGCCCTAAAACTTAGGAATTTAGACTCATGTTATATAGAATCATTACACATTCTTTCAAGATTTTAAATAGAGACTGCTATATTGCACTTGCAATTATTTTCCTTTTGTGAGTGCAATAAGTCTGTGTTATTATTAAGACATGCATAACAGTTTACTTCCAACCTATTGAAATGAGTAGATTGCATTTTCTACAGGCAGTTTCAGAGTGACTGAAAAAGAAATATGAGGTTCAAAGCCTTGAATATGAAGATAATAATTATAATCATTTTGAAATTAAAAATGAAAATTCACATTTGTATCTACGGAAGGGGATTAGGGCCACTGGAAAAAAAAAACTTTACTGATTTTAAAATTTTATTTTAGTTTAGTGTGGGAAAAAAGTCAGAATTCTGAGAAAAAAGTCAGAATTCTGAGATTTAAGTTAGAATTCTGAGATTAAAGTCGAATTCTGAGAAAAAAAATCAGAATTCTGAGATTAAAGTCGAACTCTGAGAAAAAAAATCAGAATTCTGAGATTAAAGTCGAATTCTGAGAAAAAAGTCTGAATTCTGAGATTAAAGTCGAATTCTGAGAAAAAAATCCGAATTCTGAGATTAAAGTCGAATTCTGAGATTAAAGTCGAATTCTGAGAAAAAAGTCAGAATTCTGAGATTTAAGTTAGAATTCTAAGATTAAAGTCGAATTCTGAGAAAAAAAATCAGAATTCTGAGATTAAAGTCGAACTCTGAGAAAAAAAATCAGAATTCTGAGATTAAAGTCGAATTCTGAGAAAAAAGTCGCATTCTGAGAAAAAAATCCGAATTCTGAGATTAAAGTCGAATTCTGAGATTAAAGTCGAATTCTGAGAAAAAAGTCAGAATTCTGAGAAAAAAGTCAGAATTCTGAGATTAAAGTCGAATTCTGAGAAAAAAGTCAGAATTCTGAGAAAAAAGTCAGAATTCGGAGAAAAAAGTCAGAATTCTGAGATTAAAGTCAAATTCTGAGATTAAAGTCGAATTCTGAGAAAAAAGTCAGAATTCTGAGAAAAAAGTCAGAATTCTGAGATTAAAGTCGAATTCTGAGATTAAAGTCAGAATTCTGAGAAAAAAGTCAGAATTCTGAGAAAAAAGTCAGAATTCTGAGATTAAAGTCGAATTCTGAGGAAAAAAAATCAGAATTCTGAGATTAAAGTCGAATTCTGAGAAAAAAGTCAGAATTCTGAGATTAAAGTCGAATTCTGAGAAAAAAATCCGAATTCTGAGATTAAAGTCGAATTCTGAGATTAAAGTCGAATTCTGAGAAAAAAGTCAGAATTCTGAGATTAAAGTCGAATTCTGAGAAAAAAAATCAGAATTCTGAGATTAAAGTCGAATTCTGAGAAAAAAGTCAGAATTCTGAGATTAAAGTCGAATTCTGAGAAAAAAATCCGAATTCTGAGATTAAAGTCAAATTCTGAGATTAAAGTCGAATTCTGAGAAAAAAGTCAGAATTCTGAGAAAAAAGTCAAATTCTGAGATTAGAATCGAATTCTGAGAAAAAAGTCAGAATTCTGAGAAAAAAGTCAGAATTCTGAGATTAAAGTCGGATTCTGAGAAAAAAGTCAGAATTCTGAGAAAAAAGTCAGAATTCTGAGATTAAAGTCGAATTCTGAGAAAAAAGTCAGAATTCTGAGATTAAAGTCGAATTCTGAGAAAAAAATCAGAATTCTGAGATTAAAGTCGAATTCTGAGATTAAAGTCGAATTCTGAGAAAAAAGTCAGAATTCTGAGATTAAAGTCAAATTCTGAGATTAGAATCGAATTCTGAGAAAAAAGTCAGAATTCTGAGAAAAAAGTCAGAATTCTGAGATTAAAGTCAAATTCTGAGATTAAAGTCGAATTCTGAGAAAAAAGTCAGAATTCTGAGAAAAAAGTCAGAATTCTGAGATTAAAGTCGAATTCTGAGAAAAAAATCCGAATTCTGAGATTAAAGTCGAATTCTGAGATTAAAGTCGAATTCTGAGAAAAAAGTCAGAATTCTGAGAAAAAAGTCAGAATTCTGAGATTAAAGTCGGATTCTGAGAAAAAAAGTCAGAATTCTGAGAAAAAAGTCAGAATTCTGAGATTAAAGTCGAATTCTGAGATTAAAGTCAGAATTCTGAGAAAAAAGTCAGAATTCGGAGAAAAAAGTCAGAATTCTGAGAAAAAAGTCAGAATTCTGAGATTAAAGTCGAATTCTGAGAAAAAAGTCAGAATTCTGAGAAAAAAGTCAGAATTCTGAGATTAAAGTCGAATTCTGAGAAAAAAGTCAGAATTCTGAGAAAAAAGTCAGAATTCGGAGAAAAAAGTCAGAATTCTGAGAATAAAGTCGAATTCTGAGATTAAAGTCAGAATTCTGACTTTTTCCCCATACTAAATCGAAATAAAATTTTAAAATCAGTTAACTTTTTTTTTGTTTCCAGTGGCCCTAATCCTCTTCCGTAGGTGTTTCTAAATGCTACAAACTAAAGTAAAAAACAAAAAACAAATACAGAACATAAAATATGGTAAAAAATCAGAAAGTTGTTTTCGTCTAATGACTGATCGCCCATACCACCGCTCCCGAGCAAAGAAGTAGCTACAGTCCAATTTACAGCATCGTATGCTCTGAAGAGATTATTCATATCCACCAGCTCCTCTCAAGAGCTGCTTGATCTGATAACTGCAAAAAAGGTAGGCTATAAATTATTTATAAAACATAATTGTTGCATGTGGGGTAGAAAATGTAGTGAGAAAAGGTATTGAGGTTGTTAAGGGCTGTTTATACTCTCGCAGTAGTGTCGCAGGTGTGACCCGGACATTTTTTATTAATGCTCAATATTGAAGCGTGGTCTGCGCTATGTTATTCCACGCCAAAACGCAAAAGGGGAAAATCGCAAACTAGCTGTGGGTCTAGATACGGCTAGATACATCTAGATAGCCAGGTTGAAAAAGGGTCCCAGCGTTCTCGCGCACCTCGCTCTTCTAGGTGGTCCAACAAAAAAGAGTCGTTTTCCGCAATTGCGATCATACAAGCTGGTAAGGTACCAAACAGGAGGCGCATAGTGTAGAGCGAATGTAGATTTGACCAGTCAGAGGCCTCCTGGCTGCATCACTGTCTGCTGTACAGTTTCTGTGGGCGGGGACGGCTCTGCGTTCACCGCATCACCTATGTAGATGACATTGTTATTTTTTATAAGCGTACAACTATTTGTCATTTCAGTCATTATTTTAATCATTTTTTAATTGTATAAAGATCATCTGCCGTCTATGCATTCATTTCTGTCGGCCTGTTTAGATGTTTCTTAATTTATTAAAATTACTCAGCTATTGTCATTTTCAACACAAAGATTTTTACATGGTCACAGATTCTCTCTCCATCGTCTGGCTTTGCACCAATTCCTCCTTTTATTTTCCAGTAGATCTTTAAACCTGTCTACACTACCAAAGTTACCAAAAGCTGGTTCAGTGACCATGGTGTTCCTGTTCTTCTCTGGCTACAGCCCCGGCGTAACCTATGAGCTGTTGTCAAGAGGAAGATGACAGACACTGGAATCAAAAGGGGAGGCAGCTATCAGAGCATCCAGGCTTTCATTATACATACACAGTACCACAGGCTGATCCCGTCCATGCACCAGCACACCAATGCAGTAATTGATGCAACAGGAAGCCCAACCAAGAATCCAGTGCATAGGAATCAACAAAGCCTTACATTTGTACCAAAACAGCCTTTTGATTAATCTAATGTGATATTCTAATCTCTTAAAACATTGATGTTTGGGCTGTTTTTTAACTTTCAACATTTTTGAGATTTTTCTGGCAAAAATATTGCACTTATACACATGAACGTGTATAATCAAATTGACAACAGCATTCAGGGAGATGAGTTAGACTGTTGTCTGCTTTGTTTAATACCAAGGTGAACATTTAACTCCGGTAGAGAGCTGTTAATGTTGCTACAGTAGAACAGTGCAGCCCTATTCATTGCTGCATGCTTTGGTGCTCTGTCTGCAGGACTCACCATTGTGGGACATTCCCACAGCAAGGCACTTCTGGAAGCGGCAGTATTGGCACTTATTGCGGTTCTTTTTTTGGATCTTGCAGCGGCGCTCACACCTGTCATACTCCAGCTTCAGACGGATGGTCCGACGAAAGAAACCCTGGAGGAAAACAGGTTCAAAGCAGAGAAAAAATTTTTTTTCAACATGGAGCAGACAACTGAAACACAACCTTGAGAAAGCAAAAGACAACCTGACACAGATTGCTAAAAAAAGATGAGACCTTTGAAACAAATGTTAATATTCATGAATGACATTGGCAACATCAGGAACAATGTTTCCAAGTAAGAATCTTCTCATTTCTATGACCTTGACCAGAGCAACTTTTTATCAAACAGAAACATCTCAGTTTCTACAGACAATGGAAAAAAACTAATCCTGACCATACCAAGAAAAGCGATTAATTACCTCCAGCCTATTTTTATGTTGTTGGTAGGGATACATGTGTTGCATGTATAAATATTCCTAATGATTCAATAATGAGGGCAAAAACATAAACAAAGCTCCAGAAGCGGTTAAACTGTCCACGGTTACCCCAGATTAGCTAGATATTTCACCAGTATGCAAAGCTTATGCTGAGTAATTCCCCCACTAACATGTCACGTGTCATACCACATATCATGTGTTCATACGCAGCAACATAAAAAAGGCCACCGGGACTGGGTCTCAGCCCCACCCCAAACAGATACTCACCCAACATTGCTCGTGTCCGGTGTCATAATCTCTCAGTATACTGACATCATAAGGGTCATGTTTCTCCTGTTGCTCCCCGAAATACAGATTAGTTGTCAATTTCACAGCCTGCATGCTTATTTTGCACAGAAAACATGTTCTTTCTACAAGTGTTACACTTTCGCTAGCCTGTTGACAACTATTCAAAACCGTCGAGAAAGAAAATTGAAAATTAAATTTGTAGCCATAGATTCACCCACTTCTGCCAGTAAGATGACAGCATTACTGTAAACCAAGATAACAGACAAGCTTTAGGTAAACTCTTTTAATGGCTTGGTTAGGATTTTAAAAGAGAGACCATCACTAGGTGGGGAATAACTGCAAAGGGGAAGGAAAATTATGGTTGAACATACTTTAATCCAGCTATTCTGGAAAAACCTAAAAGGTCCGTCAGAGATCATTAATGAACAAACAGCATCATGAAGACCAGTGAATACTGTGCTTTAAACATTTTAAACTCTGGAGGAGCTAAAAGGATCCACACCTCAGGTTGGAACTAATAAGATGTGAAATCCACAAATCTGGGAGTTTGTCAAGATGAAAGCCATTTCTGATTTAAAAAAAGGAGGTTGGAGTAAATAAGGTTGGAGGGACAATCATGGTGTGGGGAGGTGGGTCTTCAGCTGGTATGAAAGAGATGATTGGAAGATGAATGAAGTGCAATAAAAGACAGTCCCGGAAAAAACATGTTATTAAATACTTTAAGCCTGTGAAGCTGGTTTAACTATGAACCTATGGACTCAGGTTGAAAGACAAAAAAAATCAGTTGCAGTCTTTAAAATCGACAGAATTTACAGATGTGAATGTGATGTCACAAACAGAAACTATGTTCTTAAAAAAAGAAAATAAAATTACTGAGAAAGCAAATGTGCTGGTACTGTAAACCAGATCAAAAAATGCAGGGAAAACACTGACGTTTGTGCCAAGAGGAGCATACCACCTGCATGCAGTCTTCCATTGTTTGACATGTGAGTTAAAATCAAAAAATAAGTGGTTTGATCTACTCAGATGGATGGATATTTATGGTCGGATCTGCAGTTTTAGGTCTCAGACATGTAAATTACAAAGCAAGGAGGTTTGTTTTAAGAAGGACTTATCAGACTAAGGAGATGGATTATTTTCACAACAAAATGACAACTCATAAATGAGATGTAACTCGATGCAATTTTAGAATTTCTTTTCAGGACTCCTGTCTTTGTGTTTGTGTTTCTGTGTTTGTCTCCCTTCCTCCACCAGGAGGTGCCCGGTTCTGGTCCGCCTCCTCACACACCTGCTGATGGTTTCCTTGTTAACGGACTGCTCTTAAGCTGCTGACTGCCACTACCTCGATGCCAGAGTGTTTGCCAATTTAGGGTACTCTAGCCAAGCTGAGTTTTGCTGAGTCAAACTGAGTTCTTGTCAACCTGAGTTTTAACAATGTTTTGTCTTTGCCTCTCGGCAGGAAGTCATCCTGCAAACTGTTTTTTTTTTTCTGACCTTCTCTCCCTGGAAGGATCAACAGAGCTTCAAGGTGAGCTGAGGTTACAAACAGGAGGTTTGGACCCACTTTCCTTAAGAGATTGTTTGAGCTTCACACCGAGAAAGGGATTCATCTCCACTACGACCCGTTCAAGTACCGCAGGAAATGTGAGTGGCAGTCAGCTTCTCCGTTCACCTACAAACAACCGCATTCTGGGTAAACCCTGTTCCGCCCTCCACCGAATCAGACAAACACTGGAACAACAGCATACAGACTGGAGTCAAAGATTCAACAACTTCTCTGGAAACGTGAGTCAGTAACCAGATCCTTTTCTCCAAGTTTATTAACCAAATTTCCCACTGAGCCTGAACTAACCGCTGTGTCTTCCCCTCACTTTTCATGTCCGGTTGAGCAGTGTTCAGAGCAACACTTTTCTCTGCATTATCTCTTCAATAAAACCTGTTAAACCTTTTCTCCTGGTCTCCCTGTTTGGTCTTCAGCATTTGGGTCTGAATTTCAGTAAAATCATGACATTTCTGAAGGATCTATTTGTAAGGTTGACACAGACCACAATGTGATGACTTGTTTGAGAGTAACTGCACTTTACATTCAAATAAAGCATCAAAATCAAGCCTCCTCAGTCTTATGCATCATTTTTCATATACATGTATCTTTGTACTAGAGACATGAAGTCATTAAGCTGACCTTTGGCTTTTATGATAAACAGTTTTACAGAGTTTCAAGTGATACAACAGGAGAGTTATAGGTTTTATCAAATATCATTATAATTAAAATGATAGAAAATTTACAGGATGCAAGTCTCAGTGGGATTTAGGTATGGACTTCCACTAGGTTATTTTGATACAGGAAGATGCTTTGATCCAAACTACGCTGCTGTACTTCTGGTAGGATGTTTGTGCCTCCTATCCTACTGGACCTCCTGTCAGGTTTTTCCAAGACTCTAACCTACTGTTCTTCAAGACTGTTCTGTATTCAACTTCCACTCTGACCAGCTTCCATGTAGATGCTGAAGAAATGTATCCCACAGCATGATGCTGCCACCACCATGTGTGAGTATCAGGATAGAGGGTGAGGTGCAGTGATGTTTTCCTGCCACACATAGGGTTTATTTGTGCTGTTCCAAGTGTCAAGTTTTGGTCTAATCTGACCACCTTTTCCAGGTGTTTGTTGTGGTCTCAACAGCTTAAAGCCATTTTATAACAGAACTGTTTTTTATCACATAGATAAGAACATCCCAACAACATACTAAGGCCATCTAACACAACCTAATGTGAATAAATTACCTTTGTTGTGATTTTATGTTCAATTTAGGGCTGCAACTAACGATTATTTTAAAAATCGATGAATCGGCCGATTATTTTTTCGATTAATCGATGAATCGGACAAAAATTTTTTTTTATATTAACCTCTTTATTCCATAATAAACATTTTAGACAGAACAAACAAGCACACAAGTACAGGTTGCTCATTAACTGTACTGGTGCAATATGAAAAATAAATGTTTGTGTTAAAACTACGCAAACTTACATGAGAAATGTAGCTGTACATCCACAAAATATAGGGTACTTTGTTTCATAAATTTTTGTTTTTTAAAGCCCCTAAGGGGCTCAAACAATAGGTCCCCCCATTTCAACAAATGAGTTTTTTTTAGACTAGAAGAGTTCTGCCTTTTAAGACAGGAAAGTACAGCAGTTAAAGTTGCTGCTTGAGAAAATACTGAACCATAGAGATAAAAATAGCCCTGTGATTCAAATTATAAATTGTATTTGGAATAAAAATGAGAGAACTAGGGGTGTTAAAAAACACATCCTCCATAGACAGATATTTACATGGGAATGTGGCATATAATTAATTGACATACCGTATTACTTATCTTGCTGGATTTTATGCTTTACTTCCATAAATTGCAGGATCTTCTTTACTTTCTTTGCCAGAAGATATAAACTTTAAAAGCCTTGCCCTCATAATTTGCAAGTTCATTCATTTATAAAGTAAATATAAACGCTGCTTAAGCTAATTCAAATTAAATTAAAAGTGAAATAAGTAGCCAACCTTATCACTGTCTGTAACCTACTAACAAGGTAAGGAAAGCATCAGATGAGCTACCTGAGAAACTAACGTTACGTTTCCCCACTTTAAAACGAAACAAACATGGTTACTCACCCTGCTGATCAGCTCTCTTCACTGCCATCGAAGGCTCCAACGTGTTTTCTGTTCAGGTGCTGCGTCATAACAGTGGTGCTTCCGTGCCATGTTCATTTGTTTTTACAAAAGTTGCATGTTACGACTTTTTTTACTTTACAAAGCGCAGGCTGTTTTAATTATTGTGATCAATTTGCGCCGTCAATCCCGGGGCTTGCGCGCTTCATTTGCAGTCTGGACGCTGAGAGGGATTCCTGTGGGAGAGGGAGAAAGGGGTTGGGATGGGGGAGGCGCCCCACGGCAGGCAAAAGCCGCCAGTGACACCGTAAAAAGTCACCAGATTTGTTGCTAGTCGCTTTTTTGAAAAATAGTCGCTGGAGGGGTCTGAAAAGTCGCTGAGTTGGCAACACTGCAACTGCGGCGCTGACTCGCTCCGCCATATTTTTTTTTTCTTCACCCGGATGACGGCGGCGGTGGATGACGCATTAATCGCGCGACACAACTAATCGATGATTAAATTCGTTGCCAACGCTTTTAAAAGTCGATTTTTATCGATTTTATCGATTCGTTGTTGCAGCCCTAGTTCAATTCTATTCCCAGCCAGCTGGGAATTAATATTTCTGATACTTTAAGATGTTTATTGCCCTCCCCTGTAGGGGTGGTAAATATCTTATTTTTTAATCAGATATTATTTCAGCTGTTATATACTGTTTATGACACACAGTCCTTCTAGCTGTGTGTTAGAACAATAAATGAAAGAGTGATTCGAGCACTAATCATGGTCAAACAGTTATTTCTGCACATACATGGAATAAATTCACCACAACTTCTGTTCAAAATATAAGAGTTTATTAACAAAAATCATTCAGCTCCAAGTCAAACATAATTCAGTTTAACACTCTCAACTAAGACTAGTAAAACTCAACTAAACTAAACTACTGTGTACAAAGAGGAAGGGGAAAACGGTTGAAAAACATATTACAGTTTAAGATGGATTCTGTGTTTGAAACCAAGTTTATCTGGAAGAATTTGGGATGTGAACAAATTAGCTTTTCACTAATTTTAAAGGAATTGGATTGTTTTCAGACCAATTCACAATGCAAATCCATGAGGTGAATAAAACATTATTTGGCCAAATAATGTTTTATTAAATGATTTGCTTAATCAAGAACCAATAACCTTTAGTTAAATGATTCTTTACCCTCCTTGAAATAGCTAGCAGCGAATAGACATCAGGATTCCACTAAATGACTCTTGGTCATACTTGGTAATGGGAATGTAATGAGCATCTGAGGAACACATGAACACTAATGTTATATCAGTGTTTAAACCCTTAGAGAATAAAGCTTCTCTAAGCTTTAGCAACAGCTCAAGACATATTCCTTTAGCGTAGCGTAGCATGCAGTCCATTCTTTAGCATCAATTAGCGTTGTCTTTACTCAGCAGTAAACACACAATATGATTAGCATCATCAAAAGACATACTGCTTGTTCTGTCCCTAATCATGCCAGACCTGCAAACCTTTTTCCATGTCCATTTGGAAAGCTTGAGTTTCATCCATTTGCAGCTCTGCAGTCAGGGCACAGCAGGGGTTCTTTGTCAGGAGAGTTCTTCTCTCCAGTCTGGCTCCATAAGTTCTGAAACTCAACAGAAATGTGTTGCAAAAGGTCTGTTTTTGCAGCAGTTTGGTTCTGAAAGGTTCTGAACTATCCTTGATGGTTCTGGGGATCTGGTTCTAGCTTTGAGCGCATGAGCAGAAGAGACCAGGAGCAGAAGGAGGCAAAAGAGGCAGAAACTTGTGTGCTCTGTGATTTTTTCTGTCCTCACACAGAGGTAGGGTGGTGGTTTTTGGTCACACCTCTGTGACTTGCCTGTGGAGGCCTTGGCTGAAACGGGGATTATTGCAGAGATTCCACAGCTGATTCCACATCATTATTTCAACATGAAATATGGACACTGGTTCCCAATTTCCAAAAGTATGATCATGACATATGGCGCAACACCTTTGTTAGGAACTGAGACACAAATAACTTCACAAGTAAGTATTTACATAAAGTGAAACTTTGACTGCACAACTACTCTTTTATTTACTGAAACTTCTATTAAAATGCACACAAATAAAGAAAGGTCAAACAAAACATAGAATTGTCTCACCACAAGAAGGGTTCAAAAACACTTGCTTATTTCAAAGAGTTTCGTTTGATCTTTTTGTTCTTCAATGAGGCTTGCACAGTGCCAGAGTGGGTAGCAATGCTGTCTTGCAGCAAGAAGGTTCCAGGTTTGATTCCTGACCTGGGGTCTTTTTGCATGGAGTTTGCATTTTCTCCCTGTGCATTCTCTCCAGGTACTGTGACTTCCTCCCTCATTCCAAAAATGATTATTGTTAGGTTAATTGGCTTTTCTAAATTCCCCTTAGCTGTGATTATGTGCGTTTGTCCTGTTTGTTCCTGTGTTGCCCTGGGAAGGACTGGTGACCTTTCCAGGATGTATTCTGCCTCTCGCCCATTGACAGGTGGAAATAGGCACCAGCACCCCTTGCCACCTCAGCAGGGATAAGTGTGACAGAAAATGGATGGATGGATGCTCTTCGATGAGACTAGTAAGCAATTAACTGAGAAATTAGCAGGCAACCATGTACAGGTGCTGGTCATAAAATTAGAATATCATGAAAAAGTAGATTGATTTCAGTAATTCCATTTAAAAAGTGAAACTTGTATATTATATTCATACATTACATACAAACTCATATATTTCAGATGTTTATTTTGTTTAATTTTGATGATTACAAATGACAACAAATGAAAATCTCAAATTCATCATATCAGAAAATTAGAATATTACTGAAGACCAATAAAAACAAAGGATTTATAGAAATGTTGGCCAACTGAAAAGTATGAACATGAAAAGTATGAGCATGTACAGCACTCAGTATTTAGTTGGGCCTCCTTTGGCCTGTATTACTGCAGCAATGCGGCGTGGCATGGAGTCGATCAGTCTGTGGCACTGCTCAGGTGTTATGATAGCCCAGGTTGCTCTAATAGTGGCTTTTAGCTCTTCTGAATTGTTGGGTCTGGTGTATTGCATCTTCTTCTTCACAATACCCCATAGATTTTCTATGGGGTTAAGGTCAGGAGAGTTTGCTGGCCAATTAAGAACAGGGATACCATGGTCCTTCAACCAGGTACTGGTAGCTTTGGCACTGTGTGCAGGTGCCAAGTCCTGTTGGAAAATGAAATCTGCATCTCCAAAAAGTTGGTCAGCTGCAGGAAGCATGAAGTGCTCTAAAACTTCCTGGTATGTGGCTGCGTTGACCCTGGACCTCAGAAAACACAATGGACCAACACCAGCAGATGACATGGCACCCCAAACCATCACTGACTGTGGAAACTTTACACTGGACTTCAAGCAACGTGGATGAAGTGCCTCTCTTCTTTTCCTCCAGACTCTGGGACCTTGATTTCCAAAGGAAATGCAAAATTTACTTTCATCAGAGAACATGACTTTGGACCACTCACCAGCAGTCCAGTCCTGTTTCTCTTTAGACGCTTCTGACGCTGTCTGTGGTTCAAGAGTGGCTTGACACAAGGAATGCGACAGCAGAAACCCATGTCTTTCATACGTCTGTGTGTGGTGGTTCTTGAAGCACTCACTCCAGCTGCAGTCCACTCTTTGTGAATCTCCCCCACATTTTTGAAGGGGTTTTGTTTCACAATCCTCTCCAGGGTGCGGTTATCTCTCTTGCTTGTACACTTTTTTCGACCACATCTTTTCCTTCCCTTCGCCTCTCTATTAATGTGCTTGGACACTGAGCTCTGTGAACAGCCAGCCTCTTTAGCGATGACCTTTTGTGTCTTGCCCTCCTTGTGCAAGGTGTCGATGGTCATCTTTTGGACAACTGTCAAGTCAGCAGTCTTCCCCATGATTGTGTAGCCTATAGAACTAGACTGAAAGACCATTTAAAGGCTTTTGCAGGTGGTTTGAGTTAATTAGCTGATTAGAGTGTGGCACCAGGGGCCATCAATTTTGAACCTTTTCACAATATTCTAATTTTCTGATATGATGAATTTGAGATTTTCATTTGTTGTCATTTGTAATCATCAAAATTAAACAAAATAAACATCTGAAATATATGAGTTTGTATGTAATGTATGAATATAATATACAAGTTTCCCTTTTTAAATGGAATTACTGAAATCAATCTACTTTTTCATGATATTCTAATTTTATGACCAGCACCTGTAGATACATTAACTTGTTACTGGACGCACTGATAAAAGCACGAACACCACATGCACGATAAGATACCAGCAATCTGATTGGTCAGGGATCGTTTTCTAACATTTGTAATGGTCAAGTATTCACCAGCATCAATGTAGATGAACTCACCTTGCAGCCCTCACAGGCGTGAACTCCGTAATGATACCCTGATGCTCGGTCAGAACACACGCGACACTCCAGACTGAGTGACGAAGAGGAAGATGAGAGCTCCTCCTGGGTTGCAGCCATGCCGAAAAGAGAGGACGGGCTTGACGCTGGTGTCAGAGCGTCTGTATAACACAAAAAGTAAATGTGTTACCGCATTACAGCACAGATGCAAGAAGATTTTTCAATGAATAGTGCAGTTTCTACCGCATTTACCAACATGCCTGCAGGTCATTAAAGATGTGTTAGACAACAAGATCTTCAGCAGTTAACATGAAGGCTTTTGAGAAAAGGCTTTGAATCCTGAGGTTGTGAGTTCGATCCCCCACTCCCACAGACTGCCACTCTGGCTCCCTGAGCAAGACCCCTAACCCCACACTGCTCCCCGGGTGCCGCACAGTTGCAGCCCACTGCTCCCCAAGGGGAGGGGTTAAATGCAGAGAAGTAAATTCCCTTTGGGATTATTAGAGTATATAAAATACTAACATTCTTTTTTATAAAAATAAAATAACCCATTTTACATAACATTGTCGTCTCTGATGAGGCCCACCACTGTGGTGTCGTCTGCAAACTTCACGATGTGATTGGTGGTGAACCTGGGGACGCAGTCGTGTGTCATCAAGTTGAACAGCCCATCAGATGCTGTGGGATGATGGTGCTGAAAGCTGAACTGAAGTCCAGGAACAGCATCCGCACGTGGGTGTTCTTCTACTCCAGGTGTGCCAGGCTCAGCTGGAGAGCAGCAGAGATGGCGTCCTCAGTGGAGCGGTTCCGTCGATAGGCAAACTGGAACGGGTCGAATGTTGGCGGCAGACTGGAGACTTGAAGCACTTCATGATGATGTGAGTCCGTGCGACAGGACGGTAATCATTAAGTGAGGTGACCTGAGGCTTCTTTGGGACTGGAATAATGGAGGCAGACTTGAAGCATGCTGGCACTATGGATTAATCCAGCCAGGTGTTAAAGATGTCTGTGAGGACTCCAGCCAGCTGATCTGCACACTCCTTATACACCTGCCCAGGTATGTTATCAGGCCCTGGGGCCTTCCTCGGATTGACTCTCAGAGTTTTCCTCACTTTAGCTACGTCCAGGTTTAGTGCCTCCTCCCCCTGGTGTGGAACAGCTTTCACTGCTGAAGTGCTGTTTAGTGCCTCAAACCTTCCAAAGAAGTTGTTCAGTTCATTTAGGAAGTCAGTGTTTGCTGCATCTACCGGGGGGGAGGGTGTGTTGTAGTCTGTGATCATCCGAATGCCTTTCCACATCCCCCCGGTGTTGCTGTCATCGTGGAAAAGATCCTGGATCTTCTGGCTGTGGTTCTGCTTCGTTGATCTGATGGCACGGTTTAAGTAGACTGTTCTTAGTAGACTGTCCGCGGCGCCCGCGTCAGATGTGAGTGGGCCCTGGCTGTGGGCGTGGCCGCCTGTGTGTTTTTCCTGGGTGGCGCGGTCGCGTTGGGTGTTGCAGCCGGTCGCCGGGGCTTGGTGCCGGGGGGTGGGGCGTGTTTCGGTGCTCTGTGGGGCCGGGGCATTTCGACCGGTGCCGTGGGGGGGCCGGTGTTCGGTGCCCGGCGCTACTTCAGGGTGGCCGGCTTCTGGCGGAGCCCGCGGACTCATCCCCGTGGCTCCCCGGGGCGCCGGCATGGCGGTGGCTGGGGGGCTTCCTCAGGGCTTGGTGGGGGTCTGATTTCCGGGGTGGGCCCCTCCTTGGTGCCTTCGCTCTTGGGGTCCCTTTGGGCGCCTGCGGCTTTGGGTCTCCCGCCGCTGGACTCAGTGCTCTGGGGGGTGTGCTTCTCCGGTTCTCCACAACCACTATTGAGCATTTTTTCTATGGATAAACTTCACATGCACAAGTGCATCCTCACAAACAATTACAGGTGCTTGGCTCCAGGTACTCAGAGATTCACTTCCAAACAGAAAGCCCACATTCATATCTTCAGGTAACACAGAGTACATGTCAGACTTAATAATATTACTTTAGCGATAGTTTCAAGGTGTTGCTTTATTGTATATCTCGTACCGTGTCTTTTGGTTGTGCTGTTCTTTTTTCATCTCGTTACAGGTGATGAAGCAGACTGAAAATGTTTTGTCATTGTCTCCTTTCTATCTCTTCCTTCTTTCATCTTTTTGTCTTTTTTTCTTCTCCTTTTTCCTTTTTGTTCTTCTGTTTTTCTGCTCTATTTACATTGCAGTGTCCATATAAACTGTAAAACTCCCTGCATAATTATAATAAAGCAATTTAAATGCATGAAACAAGTGGAGCGGTATGGCAATTCATGGCATACTCATCAATATTTAATAAGTTGTCATATGTTGCTGCAGCCTTGAAGATGTTCCAGTCAGAGCATTCAAAACAGTCTTGGAGTGTCTCCATGGCGCCCTCAGACCACACTCTGACCTCTTTAACTGTCGGTTTAGCCCTGATCAGCTGGGGCTTATATGCAAGGATAAACATGACCGAGAGATGATCTGATTAACTGAGGTGGGGGCGGGGGGCTGCTCTGAATCCATTTTTGATGTTAGAGTAAACCAGGTCTAAAACGTTTTCACCCCGAGTTGCAAAGTCAACATGTTGGTGAAAATGAGAGGAAACAGTGAACACAACCCTAACAGCAACCAATGACACTAGTGAAAGCATTTACTGTTTTCTTTTACCACCAGCAAAAGAACTAATGAAATTCATCCTTTTTAACCTTCTTCCCAAACAAACACTGTTTCATCCTAGAAACTATTTATTTTGAGGTCTTAGCATGCTGGCTGTTGTCTGAATGTTATGCAGGAGTAATGCTGATCAGGTCACAAGGCTGACTATAGGCTTGCCAGTCATCTATTTTATACCACCTGAGTGGAACATGGCTGGCAGGACCTCCTCAGAGAACATAAAGCACAGATGAAGTGGAACAAAAAAAGTGGCTCTAAGTCAAGCCACATGAGTTTAGGTGAGTGTTGCCAGGCTGGGGATAAGCAGAATTTGGCAGAGAGTTGTGTTCCAGCCTCGTGCAAATCCACACGTTTCATCTAAGCAAGGACACAGTGGACAAGTAAGCTCTGCCCCCGTCCCTCACCATCTCTGCACGGCTACCATAATAAATTCTAAACACCCTCTCAGTGATTTTTCCATGACATCATCAACATTTCAGTCATTGCTTCCCCTGTCTTCCTGGCTTACGCTAACTTTACACTTACAGCGTGGTGACAGACTTTTCACTCCTAATAGTGAAACGCGGCAGCACAAGGGATGTTTCCTGGGAGACTCTGCAGGGTGGAAGAGGAATGAGTGAGTACCTCATGGAAGAAGGGGAGGAAGAAGGAGTTACAGATAACATGCTGGTGCTTTAAGCACAGGAAGTCAATGAGGTCTAAAAGAACAGGCATGAGAAATAGCAACAGTTGAACATACAACAAGACGAACATTGTATGGCTGCTTTAGGGGTGGGGTAAAAATGAAAATTTTCTAGCAAGAAATTATTAATGTGTTTAATTAGATAAAACTTAAGAAGTAACCACTGGAGCCCAATCTTCTCCTTCTGGGCATGTATTCAACTATCTAACACTTACAATTGCTAGACATTTCAAGCTGAAGAAATCAATTCCCTCAATTGGAAAAACCTTAAAACAGGGGTCCCCGAACTTTTTCCTGTGAGGGCCACATAACTTTTCCCTTCTCTAATGGGGGGCCGGGGTCAGTTTATAACAGAAAAATTGTGACGATTGCAAGAGTGCCTAAATTTATGACGGGATTTATGTCTTTATGACGGGAGTCATAGTGTCTCCGCAGGTTATATTCTTTGAATACCGCTAACGCCTCTTGACAGACGAGACAGACTTTACATTGAACAAAAAAAATTATCGTTTGTCCAATTCAGGTTTAATGCCCTGCATCCTGAATCAATCTTTCTCTTACCTATTCTTTTCGCCATTATTCCGTTCGCTCTTTTTGGAAGAGGATTAGGGCCATTCAAAAGAAAAAAAAAACTATTCAATTCTGACTTTTTTTTCTTAATTAAAGTCAAAATTCTGACTTTTTCCTCAGAATTCTGAGAAAAAAGTCAGAATTGAATAGACTTTTATTTTTATTTTTTTTGAATGGCCCTAATCCTCTTCTGTATCTCTTTGAGAAGGGCGGGTTTAAGATTTTATGCTGGGGGTTGCCAGATAGGGGCACAGACCCCAAAAGGGTGGAACATTGTCGCATTATGTGTATGAAATAGTTACTAATAGTTAATAATGAAAAAACTTCATAATTAAGGAACATTTTATTGCAAATGTCCAACTTTAATATATAAAAAAAAAAACACTTATATGAAAATACTGTCTGGTATTGTTCAGGGGGCCGGACCAAGTGTGGAGGTGGGCCGGATCTGGCCCGCGGGCCGTAGTTTGGGGACCACTGCCTTAAAAATACCAATAAATGGAAGATGGGTTGCAGAGAAAGCATCACATATGGTAATAGAAAAGATAATATACATTATTAGTAGTGGTGGGCATAGAATATATATTTTTTAAATCTAGACTAATCTCCCTGTAACCTTGGAATTGATCTAGATTAATCTAGATTAAAATCACAAATTTTAATACTGTTCCCAAAAATCTAAAAGAATCTCAGAGTAGTTTTTAGGACGAGCTTTTCGACTCTAAAATAAAAAGCACTCCTGGAGAGTTTTCTGGTTTCAGAGGGAGTTTTCTTTACGTATAAAAATAACAGAAATAATCTCCAAATTGACTTAAATATAAATATAAACATTAATAAGTGGTAGAACCTTGCGACCCCGCTTGGAATAAGCGTGATGGAAAATGGATGGTTTTAGAAAAACTGTTTCAATCCTCAGTCCTTTACCAAACAATCAGATCAACAACAGCAGCACAAAGCAGAGCACAAAGAAAAATTTATGGTGTTTACCAATGCTGCAAACATTTGTAGTATAAATATATTTAAAAAACAATTTGCGTCATAGCCATAGAGATCAGTAACCTGACTCCGCCAGATGGATTTGCTCCGTATATCCATCTGGAAACCTTCCGTTGAAGTAATTTTGGGAAGGGGCGAAAATACTGGTTAGCTGATTGGCCTATGTTGGTGATAGACGGGCCAAATAAACCAATCAGATCAAAGAAGCATATGACGTAACAGAGCGACGACGAAGAGGAGCCAATTGATAGATCAAACTCTTGCCGAAACCAGTCAGGAGAAGAGCAAAAACATCTTTTCCTCTGAGAAAAGCCTCCAGAGCAGTGTTTTGCTCTTCTTTCAGTGAAGAAATACTCTGTAATTCCGAGAAAACTTGCACGATAGCCACGCTAATGCTAGTTTCATCGGCTGAAGCCGCCATGTTCTTTAGACTGAACTGTCGCGCTTCTCGTTGCGTCACACCTCAACCCGCCTCAAAGCCAACGCTGATTGGACGTTCGTTTGGTGAACGGCTCCAAATTTTCTTTAACGGAGAGTCTCCAGACTGATTAGCGAGTGAAACCTTGAAAGCTAGCGAGATCAGGATGGTCTCACGAGGCTAAGAGATCAGTGGTCATAACTTGCAACCATTGGGTGCAAGTAATGACCACGCTGGTCATAACTGTTTTCCTGGCAGCTTTGTTTGCAGCTTTAAGTGACTGTTGCTGTGTGAATCAAATGCCGTTATTTAAGATAAAACATTTCAATTTATTTTAGACCAAATAACATTTTACATTTACATCCCACCCGCTCCTGAGGGTCAACATGCTGTGGCTCTGACTGCAGCGCTGAGAGGGACTCCTGCGGGAGAACGGGGTTGGGACAACGGCTGCACCTGGCGCTGGAGGACAAGAGTAGGAAAGATACGTGCTTTCACGTAAAGGACACCAAAAGCCGCCAGTGACACCAGAAAAGTCGCTATATTTGTCGCTAGTCTCTTTTTTCAAAAATAGTCGTTGGATGGGCACGGGCAAACCGGGCGCCATTTTTATAAAGGACGACAGGACGCACGTTTCAAAAAAATATATACCTGGCTCTTGGAGTAGGTCTCGCCCGAGGAGTAGAACCGCCACTGACCATCTATGAACGTGGCGCGCATTCTTCCTGTCGCTTGGTTATGGCCGTAAACAATTTGTCTCTGTATGGCGCTGGGTTAAGGGCGGTATGAAAGTATAGCTGTGGAATAATCTGATAAACTGACAGATATTTTTGTTGTTGTTTTCTCTCTCTCTGTTTTTATATAAGACTGTGGCGGGCCCAAATGAGATCGTTTATTAATGGGAAACACTGATGTTTTAGAATAGTGTAAGATAGAAAAGGAGAGAAAGAAGATGGGAAGACTGATAGAAGATTGAAACAGAGCTGAGGAAAATAGGAACACTGATGAAAAGAACAGTTGAAGTAGAGAGAATGAAGCAGAAAGACACAAAAAAGACGGAGTAATACAGAGAGATACACAAGAGAGAGTAAAGAAGAGAGATACACACAGCAGTTTTGCAAACTCTGAAGGGCATACCTAATCCTGTTTGCAGATTAAAGAGATTTAAAGGCACACTATGCAACATTTTTCAGTTAATTAATGTGTTCCATAACGTTATGGATGATTAAATGAGTCATTTCAGGTTGAACAAAGGTATTCTCGGCCGCCCTGGTGGTCTCTGGGGGAAATACTGCACTTGCAACTGCAGGAGCACCGACCCGCACCCACAGGCTCAGAAGTCTCGTGAGAGTCAGTCTTGCTTTACGGCGAGAACTGCTACACCCCCCAGTTAAAAGCATGCTCGTTGCTAGCACAGTGGCAATCTTTGTGCAGTTATGCTACGTTCACGCAGCAAAAGCAGCAAAAGCAGCAAAATTGCGTCTGCTGCTTCCTTTTTGCTGCTTGTACCAGTTAGTTCTGACGCGCGGCTGAAGCAGCTTTGCTGCTCTGGCTGCGCGGTGCAAAAGTGTGTCTGAGGCGCATTGGGCGGAGCTTCACTATCCTTTCTCTGCCTTGCAGCTATATTTGCTGTGATCAGTGGGAATAAAGTAGTTTTAATATGTGTTTAAGTGAGAAAATACACCTGAAAACGTAATCAGTGCAGTCAGTTCATTCAGATTATTATCCTGCCTTCAATATTTTTTCTGTCGGAGCCGCTCAGACCCCCACATACCAGGGATGCGCCGACAGTATGGATCCCTTCATCAGCAGCGGTTCACCGTGGCAGCTGGTAGGTGTTTTTCATCTAAATAATCCAAACTGCATATTCTGCCGGCAGATTTCTGCATTTTAAGTTAATTTAGGCGTCAATAAACTGTTTAAGAGGAGTGATCATCAGCGCTGTGTCTCTCTCCCTGCGTTAAACGCACCCGACGCGCTGCTTCAGCTGCTCAGACGTGCTGTGCCTGGTGCTCAAAACGTGCCGCGGGACCTTTTGCTGCGCCTTGATGCGCGTTAACCATTGACTTTGCATGTAAACTCGCTGCTTCTGTCGCGCCAGCTGCGTCCAGTGTGAACGCAGCATTAGTCATTCGCTGCTAAGCTCAAAACAACCGCGCCTGGCTTGACGGAGAAACCAGGAGAACAGCTGAGCATATTTACAACAGTGCACTTTTACTTTCGCTCTCTGGGGGGAGCCTCGCTGGAAAATCAACACCGGTTGCATAGTGTACCTTTAATATAAACATTACAGTAATACATGGTTGTTGCAGCATCAGGATGTGGAAATTTAACCCGATATCTGGATGGAGGCTTGCTTTTCAATAGCAAATTGACAAGAAAAAAATAAAGAAAAATGTGAAGTTTAGATTAAAGAATGTTTTGTGTGAACTAGCCAAAGTCAAAATCCAATAGCTGTGGTAATAGTTGTTAACCGATGTCCATAGAAGTTCTCTATCTAGTCTGACTAAGCTTGAGCTGGTTTTCAAAAAAGACTTAAAACCTTAAATGCAAAAAATTCTGGTTCTGTGTGGCTCAGGGTAGATCAATACAAATGCATCAGAAAAGATTTTTGTTTATAAAAGATTTTTGTTTATAAAAGATTTTTGTAAAAGCCATGTACTATTTTCGTTTTTACTTTAAGTTGGCCTGCCGAATAAAATAGCAATAAAATACAACTAAATGTCACTTGGTATCAATCCTTTTGGAAGTCAAGAGGACTTAAACATTTCTGTTAGTTTTACCGAGTACACTGGAACCTTCAGATCCATTGTGGGAGGACTGGTACTCTGGGACGTCGAGTGAGCTGAGGGCATCCTCATCGATGGATGTGGGGATATCCTGAAGTGTTTCCATGCTGCCCATAAAATCGTCCTCACCGCACAGGGGACCATCAAGCATCGAGTCCTCCAGGGGTGACGGGGGGTGGTAGTGATTCTCCATATCCACCATTGTGATGGCGAAGTGTGCCTTTGGGAGCGTCACACATGAGACTAAAGCCAGAAATCAGAAAAGAACAGAAAAAATATATATTTTAACAGAGAACAAAAAAGAAAAATAGAACGCATGTATTGAAATGTTTTTTTTCTGCCATCTCATTGTTGAGTTAAGCATGTAACAGATTTCATGTAGATCGAGTTCAAACAATGGAAAGCAATATTCTTTTTGAACTGTTTAAAATCAGGTCTACTGAATTCCAGTGCAGCACCGTGAAAGGACACCACATGTGTGACGTGACCAGTCGTTAACTCTAAATCTTAAAGGAATAGTACACCCAAAACATGATTAGCCTTCATTTTCTACTCACCCCCATGCTGAACAACACTCTGGAGTACTTTTTTGATATCTCAAATGCATCTGGAGATCTGGGAGGCTTCTTGCTGTCTGCTGACATTCAAATAATGGAGGTCTATTGTTCCCGAGACAGAAAGGTCCATAAAAGTCCACAAAAACGTGTCAATATTCCTCCATACTGCTCGTCCAATGTATTCCAAGTGTCCTGAGTGGGTAGCGTCCAGAATTTACTCGAAACGAAGTAATTTAGAATGTTTTTAGAGCATAAACAGTAGTGTATAAGATTTCCTGAAAGCGCGTTCACGAGTCTAAGGAAACCGCGGCAGACCAAACCAGATGAAAGTGCGCATTCAGCTCGGCAAAAGACTCATGCTCTTCCTCAACACTGAAGTCCTCAGACATTTTTCTTTCGTTGTTTCTTTCTTTGCACAGGTAAACAGCACATTTCTTCTTCTACGCTTGCATTATCAGCAGAGCAGACGCTGAATGCGCACTTTCATCTGGTTTGGTCTGCCGCGGTTTCCGTAGACTCGTGAACGCGCTTTTAGGAAATCCTATACACTCCTGTTTATGCTCTAAAAACATTCTAAATGACTTTGTTTCGAGTAAATTCTGGACGCTACCCACTCAGGACACTTGGAATACATTGGACGAGCAGTATGGAGGAATATTGACACATTTTTTGTGGACTTTTATGGACGTTTCTGTCTTGGACACCATAGACCTCCATTATTTGAATGTCAGCAGACAGCAAGAAGCCTCCCAGATCTCCAGATGCATTTGAGATATCAAAAAAGTACTCCAGAGTGTTGTTCAGCAGGGGGGTGAGTAGAAAATGAAGGCTAATCATGTTTTGGGTGTACTATTCCTTTAATACCATGTTGACCATTGCCAATAACGACAACTCTGCCATGTTAGAGCCCACAACTTCCCACTGCAGGGTAGAAAGATGCTGAGGTGAGGGGTATTCAGTTGTCGCCAACTTGCTAAAATGTAAACCGCTACACACCTCCAACTTCAATGTGGCCAGCAGATTAGTTCAGTAACATTACATCGAAAGCTGCACTGAATGGGTTTAGTTTTTCTTTCTTTGTACAATTACAATGAAGAGAAGTCTATCACAGGGCAACAGAGACACACAACCATGAACCCACACCTAAGGACCTTTAGAGACAACAATTAACCCAATCGACCTTCTTGCTGCAAGGCAACAGCGCTACAAACTGTTCCGTTGTGCAGCATTTAACTTCAACTCAATGAACGGCCAAGCAACTTCTTAATTCAATTCAATTCTATTTTTTTATACAGCACCAATTCACAACACATGCTATCTTAAGGCATTTTACAGTTCACCAGATCATACAAATTGATTTAAAGTTTTCTATCTAAGGAAAACCAGTAGATCTCATTGACTTGAATGCAACCGCTAACACTAAGCATGCTTGTAGCGACAGTGTGAGCAGCCATCTGCCGAGGCAGACTAGGGTTCAAGGAGACAGAAGCAGAGATACAAAAAGGAACCTTAAAAGGCGGTCCCATCCAGGAATCACACAGCCAGGCAGACGAGCTCTGAGCCAACTCCCATGTCAGAGGATGAAGAGAGCACATCCAGTTAGTCACAGCGAGAGAAACAGGACCACACTGGAAAAATAGGTCTTTCTCAAACATCCACAAACAAAGGTGTTGATGGCACTAGCAAAGCTAATGTTTCTCTCCAGGATGGAGTCACAGCCAAAGAGGAACAGACCAGATGAAGCTACTATGAGAACAAGCATAACTCTTAAAAGAACAAGTTTCAGAAAAAAAAAAAAATTAAAAGAAAATTTTCAACAGAAATGTTGCCCTCAAAAACTTTTATGTTGAACATTTTCTTTACATTTTTTTTCCCTGAAACATGTTCTTGCGGGTTGGGAGAATAGAGATAGATGAAGCAAATGATGAAAAAGGGGTCCCTATGTCCTCCAGCAGTCTAAGCCTATAGCAGCATAACTATCGAGATAGCTCAGGATAACCTGAGCCACTCTAACTATAATCTTTAACAAAAAAGAAAGTATTAGGAGTTAACAGGAAGCCAAAGAAGAGAAGCCAGGATAGGAGTTTTGATCAGAACTCTTGCTGCAGCATTTTGGATCAGCTGAAGGCTTTTAACTACAGTTTGTGGACTTACTGATAGTAAAGAATTACAATAGTCCAGCCTTGAAGTAACAAATGCATGGACTAGTTTCTCAGCATCACCCCATTTTTCTGAATTTTGCAATGTTTCGCAGATGTAAAAAGGAAATTTTAGAAACCTCTTTAATATGGGATTTAAATGACAGGTCCTGATCAAAAACAACACCAAGATTTTTTACTTTATTATCTGAAATCAGTTTAATCCCATCCAAATTAAGTGACTGACTAACAGTAATGGGACTAACGGCGTTGAAAGTAACGGCGTTACTAACGCCGTTACCTTGTTTTAGTAACGAGTAATCTAACTAATTACGTTGACTGTAACTATAACGCAGTTACCATTGCCGACACCCCGTTACTGTGCGTTACTCAGGTCGCACAATGAACCATTTTTTCATGATAGGACTCGTGCGCGCCTTGTGATGAGAGAGGGGAGGATGAGAATGGCTGATGTATAGTGAGATTCCGTCTGTCAGTTGGTAGGTGGGTGTTTCTGCTGGTGGGTGTTAACGTACAGCACACACAGAGAGATGGAGAGTGAGGATGACTCCAGCAGCAAAACAGCGTTTTCCAGATGGAAATACCGGTGTTAGGTCGAGCTGCGTTTCCCCATCACATACGGTTTCCTCTGCATCTCCGCACAGCGCAGGCGGCACGATTCACCGCGCAGGCAACAGGAAACGCGCATGCTCGCTAAAGGCGCACAACAGTCGCCCTGTGCTCGTGCCACAGGAGAACTATGGAGAGCGTGAACGGTCAAATGATAGCCTATATGGAGTAATCTGGATGGATGGATGGATGGATACTCTGCCTTTTCAACCTACTGTATTTTTTATTTTAAACATTATTTGATGGCCTTTGTGGCAGGGATGGAGATCCATATGTTATGTCACACACAGAGTATAGATCTAGATCAGTGTTTTTCAATCCCGGTCCTCAAGGCACCCTGCCCTGCATGTTTTACATGTAGAGCAGAGTGCCTTGAGGACCAGGATTGAAAAACACTGATCTAGATAGATGGATGGATAGATAGATAGATAGACAGACAGACAGATGTTGCAGTATCTATAACAACCCAAACACACAGGATTTCAGAATTAGACATCCCCAGTTATTAATTTCATACACTCACCAGATCTGAACGCCCTGTTAAAAAACTTCACATGGCGCTCCCCCCTGATGTCATTTACGTTGAGTTGCAATAAATGCTAAACTCTCTGCAGGTTCTTGTCTTTGTCGTCCGCTCTATTCAGCTGGCTTTGGAAACACACGGCGAGAAGGTGGGGGCTGAGTGGTGAGGGTTACGGGGGCGAGAAACGCAAATGTAACGCAATAGTTACTTTTACTAGTAACTAGTTACTTTTATTGTGGAGTAACTCAGTTAGTAACTCAGTTACGTTTGGGGAGAAGTAACTAGTAACTATAACTAATTACTTTTTTTAAAGGAATGTGCCCAACACTGGTGACTAATCAGCTTATTTTTCAAAGACTCTGGTCCAAAGACTATAACTTCTGTTTTGTCTGCATTCAGAAGGAGAAAGTTAAGAGTCATCCAGGTTTTTATGTCTTCAGACATGCCTTTAATCTATGTAATGGGTTAGCTTCATCTGGATTATTGACAGATATAGCTGAGTATCATCAGCATAACAGTGAAAATGAATCCCATGCTGTCTAATAATTCTACCAATTGGGAGCATGTATATAGTAAAGAGAATTTGTCCTAGCACTGATCCCTGTGGTACTCCACAGGTAACCTTTGAGCATGAGGAAGATCTATCATTAACGTGAACAAACTGAAATCGATCAGATAGATAAGATTTAAACCAGTCTAGTGCTGTTCCTTTAATTCCAACAAAATATTCAAGTCTTTCTAAAAGAATATTATGGTCAACTGTATCAAATGCAGCACTGAGATCCAACAGGACGAGCACAGATACAAGTCCATTATCTGAGGCCATGAGAATATCATTAGTGACTTTCACCAGAGCTGTTTCAGTGCTATGATGAGCTCTAAAGCCAGACTGAATCTCTTCAAAAAGTTCATTATGGTGTAAGTGATCGCAAACTTGGTTGGCAACTACTTTCTCAAGAATCAAGGATTTTTTTTTTTAAAGTAATCCTTAAGGTTATTAAAAAGTGGAAAGACAGGACAGGGTTGAGAGGAAATAATGTTATTTCTTCACATTCTATGCCATAAGCCCAGCACAGGGTCCAACGTATGAGGATGAGAATGCGTGGGACTGACCCTGTCAGTATTTAAATACCAAATCAGAAAGAAACTCTGAAAACTCATCTAAAAATTCAGATTAAGAACCTGTTGGATAATACAAAGTTACAAAAACAAAGAGCTTTTCTTGCTTTGCAATTTGGTTTAGGGAAACTAAGTTTTAAATGTTCAAAAGAGTTGTAATTATTAACTGCCTTTGGAGTAATCAGTAAGTCAGACTGAAGTCCTCCTCCTCGCCCAGAACTTCTGGGTATTTGAAAATTTAAATAACTGGAAGGATTGCCTAATTTATGCTT